TTGTGTGCAGTCGCCCGAGTGACGAGTGCCCAGTTGCGGATTCATGTTATAGGTTGCGGAGTGCGAACTATACGCGGCACTCTGCGATGTGTGGAGTGCCGATTATTCAAGCGTTCTTTTGTAATTGTCTTTTGTGTTATTTTTGTATAGTATAAAATAAATTTCAAGTGTTGAAATATATTGGTTATATAAGCTAAAGAAAAGTATATTAAATAAGTTCAGTTAAACTTGCCGTTATTTCATGTGCCCAGACATGCTCATTGTGTCAGTCGACCAGGTCACCCAACCAATTAACAATCAGTGGTATAGTTCCGCCAAAACGGCCCCTAACTCTGGACCTTAGATTACTCGTTAAACTCTTGGGCCAAAGCTGATAATTAAGAGTTAGGTCAGGTGACTTTCCTGTAGTCAGTATCAGAACAGGACAACGCAACGCTCAAATAGTTGCAGACTTGAATTGGAGAGTGGAGAAGGACAGACTAAAGACATTTCTCAGTGAGAGTGCTAGTGCTGCACTCTGTAAAACACGCCGGTCAGATGGGAATCAGGTCAACTCGCCCCCTCGTCAAATCGCCCCCTTACCATCTCGCCCCTTTGCCAACTCCCCCCAACTGAGTCTCCCCCTTGCAAACTCGCCCCCTGGCTTAGATTATAATAAATATATTCCATTACCGCTAAATCGAGATATGTATTTTACAAGACAGGCATTCAAACTTTTACAACAAAGATTTAAAAAAAAATTCAATATATATAATAAGCTTTCTGCGTCACTCATGGCCTCGGTAGGGTCAAATTGCACGATCATTTGTGTAGGTTAAAAATGACCATTTTCCGAACCGTTTATTCCGCCTCACTTTGATATGATAGAAATCTGTATATTCTGTGAGTCTGAACTTCTGCTTTGTACACGTGTTTGTTCAGTTTTGTTTTCTGCGTGTTTTGCTTGCACTTGCAAGTTGTTTGCTTTGGATTTAGTTGCGTAACACATGGTAAAAAAACAAATACAGGTAAGGATTGAGGGACGAGTTGATTGGCACAATCAAAACCGCGGTCCACGCGTAAATGCTAGATGATAGTTTGACCCTCCCTGTCTGAGACAGAATCCCCATGATTATTATTGGCATCCAACAGCTGAAATCGGTTAAAATGATCGACGCCATCTTGATTGCCATTTTGATTTCACGCTCCCTGTGTGCATTTACTCGGACAGATTTTGCTNTGTAAAACACGCCAGTCAGATGGGAGTCAGGTCAACTCGCCCCCTCGTCAAATCGCCCCCTTACCATCTCGCCCCTTTGCCAACTCCCCCAACTGAGTCTCCCCCTTACAAAGTCGCCCCCTGGCAAACTCGCCTCCTGACCAAGTCGCCCCCTCAGAGGAGAGTTCACTGCTTTGGACATCTACATTTCTATGTGTCCTCCAGAAGGTGGGATATTGAAGAGTTCACCTTGAGAATTATTCAATAAACTTGCGTTCAGATGATTCAGTCGCCCCCTAAGCGGAAGTCCGCGATTTGACCTATAATCGTTGACCCACAAAACCATCTAAAAATCACCTGAAAACAAGCCTCTGCCAGCCCTCTGATCGATAAACTGAATGGGGTGTCTCACGTTCTGCTGAAGTTCCTTTAAAAAATGCCTAGAAATGATCGGAAACATTCGGCTGCAGGTCCAGAAGATCCAGAGGATCCAGGAACCGCGCCACTAACATCACGTGATCCGTCCGACCAATCACCAGACGCTGTGCGGTGCGCGAGTCTAACGCAATTGCAGCGCTACAACGAGAAATCAGAGGGCTGGCAAACGATCCAACTTCCGAGCCTGATAAAGCAATCCTCAACCAAGAAACACTCATGAGTAGAATAACTGGTATTGAGAACAAACCGAGGGAAATGGAGGAATCTCTGTCTTCTCGTCCAAATCTATGGAAGAACTACAGGCGAAAAATGAATCCTTGATAGACAAGATCTCCAAGATGACTGTCGAATTGCAAACGACGACGATAAATGTCACAAACTTAAAGGAAGCAGCCCTTAGGCTGGAACGGCATTCCCACAGTTATAATCTCCGATTTGCTTGTAACCCTGAAACCAGATCCGAGAATCCTGCTTATCCCTGTAATGAGGTGAACAAGATTCTCGCTGAAAAACTCAGAATGCCCGACGCCGAAATTGAAAACGCTCACAGAACTGGTCGTAAGCCTGATTAGTCCACCGACAAACCGAGATATATCTCTGCTTGATTTGCCTATCGTCCACAAATAAAAACTGTCGGGCAAAACTGGGCAAACTGTCAAGGCAGCCTTTACGAACCTAGGAATCTTTGTCATGTGAGATCTCCCGTCGAAAAATTTCAGAACCAAAAGATTTCTCCGTGACATCATGAAGCAATGCAACCTGTACATTAATGGTGTGAAAATCCCTCCCCCATGAATAGCCCAATACATATATAAATCATAGCTTGGATTAATCATGTCAAGGTTAAGTGGTGATGATATTTGTACCTTTTTTCATCTGATAGGACTTTGATATGTTCTGCCTTTCTTAGAATTGCGTTAATTGACACCCCTAGCACACGTGTAAAGTGTTTTCCTTTCGTTGAGTACTTAGACCTTCCCTGTTATGGTTATTCACATCCTGTTATATGGAATTTTTTATTGGTATGTGTATAAATTGTTCCGTTATAAATGCCTGTTAAGTATCCATGTAGTGTATGTTGTAACCCGTTGAGAACAAACTAAAATGGGATTTTCTGTGACTCCTGTAAATTGTGGACCCACCTTAAATGACTATTATAACTGAACATACAGTGATGATAATTGGTTTTGCCCTATCTGTCTTACAATATCTTTCCTTTCAATTCCTTGGATTCTGAGGAATTTGCGGCCGCTAATTCAGTCTTGAGCTAACGAATTCACCATTTACTAACGTAGTATATGTAATTACTCACTATCTTAACTCTTTTGAACTGCCCCTTGTCAGTGATCCAGATAATCGTTATCAAATTGTAAATCATTCTAGTTACTATTCATATGATAAGTTTGTGGACTTTTTAAAAATCAATTCCCCACAGATAATTTTTCACTTCTTTCTTTAAATATACGTAATTTACCGCAATTTACCACCTAAAATATCTTTTATGTGCACTTAATTATGATTTCTCTGTCATCGGATTTTGTGAGAGCTGGCTGAATGGAAATTCCTATATAAATAGTTTAACCATACCTGGATATACTCATCAGACTAAAATCAGAGTTGGCAGAGCGGTGGAGGGGTTGCCTCATATTTATCCACAAATCTTCAATATGTATCCAGACCTGACCTGAGCGCTTATTCAGACAAATCTTTTGAATGCATTTTTATTGATATTTTCACACCCCAAAATCATAAGAACCTTATAACTGGGATTGTATATAAACCCCCCGATGCAAACTTGATTGCTTTATTACTAACTTTAAAAACCTTTTCTGATTAATCACTAATGAAAATAAGCCCTGCTTATTCCTAATAGTATCCCTACTCGACAAGCACTGCTTCTATGAGGCCCAATCCACAACCATTTTCCTTTCTGTTATACCTGTACTGTTTGTAATTAGGTGGAAATAAAGAATGAATGAATGAATGAATGAATCGTCAGATGTACCATATCTGGGTCATGTCAGCACTGATCCTGAATTGCGAGTAATGTTTATAAGTGGAGAAGACACCATAAACTTATTTCTAAATAGCCACAAATAACCAAACCTTGTGTCATCGGATGTCCAGTTAGGCAAGGATATGTCAAGTAATGTGCACCGCCTGCAGTAGGCCATCCCTTATGTTATTTGTTTTAACTTACTCCAAGTATCATACAAGTGCATGTATGCTGTGATGTCTGAACTAGTGACAAATATACCACTCAATACGTTATCATCTTACAGTGCATGAAGTTTAAGTCGGTTTAAGACACAATTAAGCTCCCAGTATGGCTTAGATTAAAATAAATATATTCAATTACCGCTCAATTGAGATATGTATTTTGCAAGACAGGCATTCAAACTCTTACAACAATTTTTTTTTTTATAAATTCAATATTAAGACGAAAGGTTACCAAGCTTTTTGCGTAACTCATGGCCTCGGTAGGGTCAAATTGCACGACCATTTGTGTAGGTTAAAAATGACCATTTTCCGAACCATTGATTCCGCCTCACTTTGATATGACAGAAATCTGTTTATTCTGTGAGTCTGAACTTCTGCTTTGTACACATGTTTGTTCGGTTTTGTTTTCTGCGTGTTTTGCTTA